CTCGGCCTCCTCGCCTCCCCCGCCACCCGAGTCCCAGGACACCACGTCGCAGGGCAGCGCCTAGGCCTTCTCCGCCCTCGCGCTCCCAGGAAGCCCCCCAGCCCAGGACTGCGTCGGGGGCGCGTCTCTGCGTTGGGCCTCGCAGGAAAACCCGGCTCGCCGAGACGCGCGCGTGCACACCGGCCTGTTCTCAACACCCGGCCACTGTAGGGACGAGAGAGAAAAACAGGACAGCGTTCACTCGTTTATTTTTAGGGGACACCTGAGGGCGGAAGGAGGATCCCCCTTCCACGTGAGACCGCATGTGCCTGGGTAACCGCGACGAGTGGCGCGCGCTCAGAGCGGCTCGTCGGCGTCCCCGCGAGCCTGCGGGTTCACCCACTCCGGCGGCGGCGGCAGAGAGGGGCACCCGCCGCGCCCAGGCCGCTCAGCCCGCCCTTCTCGCCCTGAGCCCGACATCTCGGGCCCCTCTCCGGAAGGGCGGCCGTGGGCCGGGGTCGCAGCCCTCGGCTCCCGCGCGGTCTCCGCTCTCCGCGGGGACCCGGCCACACTCGCAGGCAGCCTGCGAGGATCACCGCGCCCAGACGCAGCACGTGCAGCGTTTGTCCTGACTGATTTTTTTTTCCTTGAAGACTGAGCCAGCTTTAAGTTAAGAAAAGGAAAAGTGATTTTAAAAAAATCAGGGAGCTTTAAAGCAAAACGGAGTTTATATATTCCAATAACAATGGAGCGCGTAAGTTTTAATGTCCCTGCGTAGGCATTTTAATTTGCTACAGTCACTACCAATAAAAACGGCATGTAGTAGGACTCGGCTGTTTAATAGCGCAAGGTAGACGGTTTTTATTAGTCACAGGCCGCGGCAGTATGGAAAATTTAGATTTCAGTGGAGGAGAGTAATTGCGGGGAAAAGCACACACGAAAGGCAGGCGGCGTCCTCCCACCCTGCACAGGCCCGGGAGAGGGGACGGGCAGGCGGTTTCTGGAGTCGCACCGGGAGAGGAAACCCCCAGTCACGTGCACTTGTCTGGTGGCATATTTAATTGATGTCAATGTCCACCGTATAGAGAGGGTGCGCTCCTGCTCGGAACCGGGTTGTTTTTGTAATAACTGGCTGTTGTCTCTTCTGCCCTGGCAGGGGTCAGGCCCAGGGGTGTCAGCGGAGGGCAGGGACCAGCCCCAATGCAAATGAAGCCACAGCGGGGGGATGGGAGGGGGGCATGTCTTTAGAAATAGAAACACTCGGGAGGAGTCCTCCGCCCACCTCCTCCATAGATTTTAGACCTGGTTTTTTTCACGTGAACCAATCTGATTGGAAGCGACCCCAAAGGCCAGGCCACCATCTGATCTGCCCCGGGTTGGGACGCTGTGCGTGGGCCTCTTGCAGGAATTCCTTCCTCGGAAGACCCAAAATGTCACAGACCCTGTCAATGGCTTGTCCCACCGGACTGCTGGGTCTCTCTTTCTTTCAACTCTGTAGCAATTTATTCAAAATATCAGTCCAGAGCTGGTTTTGGATGGGGGCGCAGCATTGCAGAAACGCCTCTACTGGGCCTCCCTGCAGTAGCCCGAGTGTGTGGGAGACGGTGTGCCCGGCGTGGGGGTCGTGGGTGTGCATGGGGTTGTGGTGGGTGCACATGGAGTGGGGGGGTGTGTCGTGGATGGTGATCTGAGCATGCATGGGGTGGTCATGGGTGTCCATGGAGCAGGGTGTTGTGGACATGAGAGGAGTGAGTGGCCGTGGGAGCACATGGGGTGGTCGTGGGTGTGCATGGGACGGTGGTGGTCATGCTTAGGGGTCGTGGGCATGCTTAAGAGTCCTGGGAGTGCATGGACTGGAGAGTTTGTGTGTGTGTGCATGAGGGGTCATGAGTGTGCATGAAGGGGGGTCGTGGGTGTGCATGGGGGGTCGTGAAGGGAAACGTGCGGAGGATGGGGGTGTGGTTTGCAGGGAGAGTGGTGGAAGGTGCAGTGTGGGTGGAGGGATAGTGGGAGGAGAGCCTGGCGAGTGGGGAGGGGGTAGGGGAGGGTGACTTGCCTGCCGCCCAGGAGGAGTCCTTGTCCGGCCCAGCACCGCAGTCTGCAACCGCTTCCCTCGCACCTGGGGAGAGACAGACGCAGCCTGGCGGCCAGGGGGGACGCCTGACGACAGCCTCCACCCCACCCCGCCTGCATCCCTGGCCACCGCGCTCAGTCGCACCCACCCGAGACGGCTTTCCAGGAAGAGGCACTAGTCAGGCGGGTGTCCCCACCCGGGCTGGCACACACCTGACCCCCTTCCAGCCCCCCAGAGAGCCCTCCATGGGGAACTTTTGGGGTCGGGTAGCCAGACGCCCCCGTGGGGGAGGAGTGGGGCACTGAAGCCCCAGGGACCGTCGCCAGCCACCTCGCCCTTCGCCCACGAGCACCTCCCGAGTCGCGATTACCTGAGCTTCCTGCGGGGCCGCTCGCGCCAGCGCCTCCAGCCGGCTGCCCTCTGGTCCCATGCGGAGGGGCCGGCGATGCTCCCCGCCATTCCAGGGGCTGCCTCTCCGGCAACTCCCCCCCGCCAGCATTTTGTCAAAACCAATCCGACTGGGCCGTCAACTACTAAACACAGCACGAAACTCTCTTGGGCGGCGGCGCCTCCTGGGGGAAGCCCCGGCGGGAGTGCCAGGACGCTCCCAGCCTGCTTGGCCCTAACGCTCAGGGTCCCGGGCTCCGCTGCGGACTCG